TTGGAGAGGCCTATCATCTCAAAATTCTGTCCTATCAGTTGTCAAGCATTTCCATTTTTAGACGGAATTGCGCCTGAAAGAGCCAATAATCGGTTTATTTGAGTCGAGAGGGGCTCAAAGCGAGGAAGTTGGCGACATTTGCTTTAGAGACCACTCGTTTGTAGATCGTAAAAATGTTAAAAAAATTCAGATCATAAAAATGTATGCTTTAAGGTTGTATTGCAGCACACAAAAAAGTTTTCTGGTGATATACATTTCAAGGGATTTGTGCAGTTAGATTGCAATGATCATGAAGAAGGCCTTTGATCGAGCATCTGCAACTCCTCTTGATTAGTCTTCATGCCACCACTAGCTGCCCACCAATAACCACTGATTCCTTCCTCGATGGGAGGACTAAGCATTCGGCTGGTGTTGAACCAAGCAGCGCCATCTCATGATGATGATCCTACCAATGCACCCACATGATAATTGGCCATTGCCAATATTCCAATTGCAAGTTGTTGATTGATGGGCAGCCTCGACCACTCATGATGACCATATAAATGCCCTGATGGCTTGTGGATCATAAAGTGCACCTGAATTCCGAGAGAGAGACCAACTGAAAGAACCATGGAGGGTTAGAGAAGCCAAGCTTGAAGCGATGGTAGTTCGACTAAGAATGCTCAAAAGCAGCAACTCCAATTCAATGACCTCTCTTGGCTAGAGTTCGCTCTCGCTTGTTTGCATTCTAGTGTCCAACTGTCCTCTAAGAGCTTGTGAACTATAGACTTTTCAGAACAAGAAAGTTCTTGAAGTTCCTGCCTAGTGGATATTGCACAGGCTACCAGGAATTATCATGAATACCAGATGATAATGGCAGTCATCTGCAAGAGGATAAATGATACCGACAAGAATTGGCAGAATGTGTACAAGGCACTAACTGTTTTGGAATACCTAGTGGCTCATGGGTCAGAACATGTCATAGATGAGATCAGGGAACATGCAAACCGAAATTGACAGTAAGAAAAAGACAACGACTCATACGTATCAAGTTTCACAACAGATCTCCATGAAACCAAGTCTGAAATTGAGAAGAAATCCTTCTCCACATTGTTGTAGTGAGATTAGATTATCTTAGGTCGCCCCTCCCGAGTTGCTCTTTGTCTTTGATATACATGGAAGACAATCATCCGAATAGAGGTAGAAGGGTACTGTCAGAATTTTTGAAAAATATATTAGTCACGTAATGACATGTGACTGAGTGTGACGGAAAGTTAACAATAGGGGAGGTTTTAGACAATTGTCATAAAACTTAAGGGTACATTATGGGTTTTTTTCCCTAAGGTAAATCATGTATATTGTGAAAAATCATCAATAAACAGGATGAAATATCTATAGCCACCCTTACACGGTAAATGGTAAGGCCTCCACATATCAAAGTGAACAATATTAAAATGAATAGTCGATCTTTTATTACTTGAAGGATAAGTGTTCTTACAATGCTTCAAGAACTCACAAGACTCACAATGTAGACTCGAATGACTAATTCCTTTAAATAACTCTCGAAACAACTGACTCAATGAAGAAAGGGACAAATGACCCAAACGATTATGACATAACATAATACGAATAGTGGACTCTGAAACAAATGCAGTTCTCTTAGGTTGTACTTGGCTCTACTTAGGCATGTCTAATAGATAGATCCCATTCGTCTCGTGGCCACTCCCAATCACCTTTTGAGATTTCGTGTCCTGAAAAACACAATATGAAGAAATAAAAGGACATTAGAGGTCTTAATGTCTCCCTTTCTCGTGATAGGGCAAGAGAGCCATCAACAAGGGATATCTTATCCCGACCAGAAAGAAGTTGGTAAGAGGTGAATAATTGTGGAACACTGGTCATATGGTCATAAACACCATAATCAATTATCCAAGGGATTTTATGAGTACTTGAGATAGAAGCATGGTGTGTAGTGGCACGAATACCTAAGTGAGCATATGCAGAGTAAGGAATAGTCTTTGAAGGAGTTGTAGCAGTGGACTGCAAATGACTGATTATTCGGCCATACTTCTAATACTCAACCCTAGCGGCCATACTTCTCTCCACCCTGTCCTTGTTCACCTTGTGAAGAGGTGGCTACATTTGCATTTCCACCTTTTCTAGTTTCAATTCTTTTCCCACCATTTTCTTTCTTGAGTCTGATAGGAATGAGCTCTTGATGCAGCTTCCAACAGGTGTCTTTAGTGTGTTTAGGCTTATTGCAGTATTCACAAATAACATCTTTGTTCCCAGTGTTAACCTTCGGCTTCATCTCGACATTGGCATAGTGATCAACCTGTGGCTCGATAGACTAAACTTGTCTTCTGCCCTCCTCATTGCTCACCATAGCATACGCTTGGGACAAAGTGACCTCATCCTTTGCTAAATCATTCTGCCTTACAATATCATACTCCGAGTTGAGTCTAGTGAGGAACTCAAACACCCAATTTCTCTTCACCAACTTCCTATATGTTTCTGCATCCTTTGTGCAACCCCAAACAACAGTTCCATCAAATCAATCTCTCGCTAAAGAGATTTCTTTATAGATAAGTAGACGACTAAGGGCTTCTCCCCTTGTCTTAGATTATTCACATCATGCTTCAATTTGTAGGCCCGAGCAATATTAAGTTTTTGGGAATAGGTCACCGTGACACTATCCCACACTTCTTTTGCAGTTTCCATCCACAAATAAAGATGACCAATGTGTGGTTGCATAGAACGCACTAACCAACTTACTACTGTGTAGTTTTCTTGAATCCACCTTTCATAGGTAGGATCATCCTCATCCGGTTTCTTCTTGCTCTTGGTAATGTAACCCCATTTTCCTCTACTATACACATGTATCTTAATAGATCGAGACTAGACTAAATAATTTGTCCCATCTAAGTTCACAACAGTCACAACCCCAAAAAGATTCTCCACTGACCCCCCATGTCCAAACCTAGAATCGGTGGAATATTTGGTCTCTCCTCCAATTTATTCCATTGAGTGAATGGATGCAAATGAAAATCAAATTAGGGTTTTACTAGGCTAGATTTACTGTTCTAAGCAAAGAACAACCCTTCAACCCCCCAAAAATAGGGTTCCACAAGACCCAATAGGATGGGGAGAAAGAGAGGAACTTCAACCACCCCTTCCAGAGCTTCCAGAACTCAATCCAACCAAAACCACCCTCAATATAAATCAAAAGGCTTACCTCTGTTCCCTAAGCGCCTAGTTCAAACTGTCTCTACGACTTGTAACAAGATTTCTCCAGTTATCTAGGGTTTTCGGGAATAATCTCCAAGAACCTGCCTTGGGCTTCAACTAAGGATGAAAGCCTCCACGAAAACTCTCCAAAAACCCTCCTAATTGGGCTGCATAAGTTGCTCATTGATCAATCGATCAGTTCTCCATACACTATGCATGGGCAAAGAAAAGAGAAAAAAGTCGAAATTGAGAACCTACTCTGATATGAAATACACCTGCAGTAATTCAGAAAATATAGGAAAAGAAAGAAAGGAAGAGAAAGGAGAAGAAAGAGGTTCCAGTAGTAGGTTGTGGAAGAAGCGAAGGGAAGAGAGAAAAGAAGAGTTCGAACCTTTCTCTTCTTTTGGAGAATTTGAAGGATCCAAATCCGAGAGTTCATTTTGGAAGGATCCAAACAAATCTTTTTAGCATTTGAAGAAATGCCAAGACATTATCCAACTCAGAATCTCTAGGGCCCAGCCTAAACCCCAAGTCCCAATCCACCTAGGACCCAATCCCAAAGAAGACAAGAAAGTGGACACATGCTCACTTTTATTGTTGGAAATGTCATACAATGAAGGAAATTGTTCTCTTAATGGTGAATTCCCCACCCAAACATGCTCCCAAAACTTAACCAGGTTTCCAAAGCACAAATTATACCTGGCAAAAGATAGAAAGGCAGGAAGGATGGCCTGAATAGATTTCCAAGGCACCACATTAGTCAATTGAGCCGATACTCCCACATCCCAACCCCTCATACTTAATATCACCCCTAGTCAATTGAGTCATTTCCCTAAAAGAGCTGAGTTTCTCTCTTGAATGTTCCTGATACCTAGGCTAAAGTTCCTACTCCTACTTACTATTTCCCACCTCACCTTGTGGTCCCTTCTTTCCTCTCTAGGTTCCCACAAAAAATCTCTCACTAACTTTTCAAGACACCTGCAAACATTTACTGGCATTTTGAACACCGACAAGAAGTAGACAGGCAAATTTGCAAAGGTTGACCTGATTAGAGTGATTCTGCGACCCCAAGAAAGGTAGTTTCTCTTCCAAGAAGTTGATCTCTTACTAAACCTGTCCACCACTGGGTTACAAGAAACCCACGTTTTCCAGGTTGTCGCCCAATGGTAAACCTAGATATTTCATTGGCCACTGGGAAACTTCGCAGCCCAAAATTGTTGCACCCTGTGAGACCTCTCTTATCCATGTTTATTCCCACCACATAACTTTTATTAAAATTGTCGCACCCTGTGAGACCTCTCTCTTCCTCTCAAAAAAGGTAAATCACCATCCTCATGTTTCTTACCCAAGATAGAGTGCCACCCTCACAAAATAAAATTGTATCATCAGCAAATTGTAAATGGGTGATAGGCACTCTGCAGACAGTTTTTCAGAAACTTTCGCGTAAAATGTTTTCTCGGTTAGCAGTAAACAGATTGTTCAACAACAGAAATAATAAATTATAATTCCTATTTTTGTTTTTGATAATCCTTTTGTAAATCAGGTTTTGGGCCTTTGGGGTATAGGACTGTATGGGCTGTATTTGTAAATCCCTGTGTACAGCTCCTTGTTGTACACATTTTTTGCTCTTTTCAATGATATTGTACTTTACCTCTTTCAATAAATTAATAAAATTGGCATCTTATACAGATTCATATCTTGGTGTTTGATCCCTCAGTTTCATACTTTTGCTTCTGTGTTGCATCTCTTCTATTTCCTTCAAGAACTTATACAGCTCTTGGTTTCTCATGCAGGACAATTTTGGTAGGTTACATGACAGAAACAAAGAGGTCTCAAAAACAACCAGGCAACTCAACCGACTTTTCCCAAACAAAGTGACCATACAGCTACCACAAGTATTGAGATTTACTTCCAGTTTATGCTGTAATACTCCCATGTTCTATCTTTCCATGTAGAATACATTTACTATTTTTCAGAACTGTTTCAGGATGAAGCTCTACTTTTGGATTGGAAACAGCGACTGGATCGTGATGTTGAAACACTTAAAGTGCAGTCAAACATCATTAATATTCGTTCTGTAAGTTATTGCTGTTGTTTATGTTTAAATGTTGTGAAGATAATGAAAATATACTCATTATGTTATGCTTGTCTTTCCTGTAACCAACTACCATAACATTGTAATTGGGATAACTTAAATATACTATTTACTATGCTACTGGGTTCTGGAGCCTGGGTATTTTTGCCCTATTATATTTACATAAAAGCTGCATTCCATGTAAACATTTGCTACAAGTATTTGTTAACTCATAATTTGTTAATGCATCACACAGCTTTTCCATAGTTTAAGCATTTGTTGAATGATTGCTTTACTTCTTGTTTTTTGTCTGGTAATGAGTAAGTGTAGCAGTAATAAAATGAAATATGCAATTTAAAAGTTTTGGACTGGACTGGGACCATATTGATTTAAACTGAGTTGGTCAGGGTAAATGGGAGCCATGACATCTGAGGTTGGTCAGGAATACTAGTTATCAGTGACACTAATTTTTCAGCATTTGGCCTGAGATATTTACTTTCCACCAAATTTTTTGATCGTATACATAAGCGGGTTGGTTTTATGATTGAGGTCCTATCCACAACAACTAGGACTTATGTATTCAATTTTTTTTTGGTAAGTTAACAACTTACTAGTGCAGAAGCACCAATAAAAGATGATTTAGAAGTTAATAGACCATTACAAAGGTGCTGGGCGCATAAGCATGCACAGACAAGTAACCGAATCAACTATGCTACTCAAAACGTGCAACATAGTGCACTAGGTGCACTAGGTGCATGCCTTTTGAAAGGGGATGTGCCTGGGTTGAAGCAACTAGCAATGTGCATGCCTTAAAATGCACCTCACCTGTGTGCCTAGGCATGTCTTTTAAACACACTGGGAGAACCTTTACAATTTAATCCTCTATTGGACTTCTATATGTTTGAAGTTGGCTTAATGGTTAGCATATTTCAGTACTGTAATCCATCTTGCTTCATGCTTGCAGATTCTAAACCGAAATGGATTGGAGTGCCCTGACCTTGAAACACTTTGCATAAAGGATCAAGCTTTTACTGGTGAAAGTGAGTAATGTCCTTTACTACATTTGCCCTTTCTACCGTAAACATTATATTTGTCACATTAGTGGATGGTAGATTGTTACAAACAACAACAACAACAAAATTGAACTTTCAACCTCTGAATTGCTAAGCTTATCTGGCCTTATATTCCTTTGTTGCCTACAGGCGTGGAGAAGATAATTGGTTGGGCTTTAAGTTATCACCTTATGAATAGCAATGAAGCTTCTATGAAAGATGATAAACTTGTGATTTCCAGTGAAAGGTTTCTCTATCTTCTGTTTAAAATATTCTGCTACACTGCTGGAAAAAGAATGAGCTTGATGGTCTCTCCATGTTAATAATATCCTATTTCAAAATTGCAGCATAACATATGGGCTCAACATTTTGCATGATATACAAAGTGAGTCTAAGAGTCTGAAGAAATCACTCAAGGTGAACCTGTTTTTTCTTTTCCCTTTATAATGCCTTCATAACCACATATTGATATCAATTAGAAGCAATGTTATGTTTTTTGTTGCACATATTACCTTTATGTTTTTGTGATTATATGTCTAAATGTAAAATGCTTCTTGGTGTTGTGGTTTTTCAGGATGTGGTCACTGATAATGAATTTGAAAAGAGACTTCTGGCAGATGTTATTCCAYCAAATGATATTGGAGTTACTTTTGATGACATTGGTGCATTAGAAACTGTGAAGGATACATTGAAGGAATTGGTTATGTTTCCTTTGCAAAGGCCAGAATTGTTTTGCAGGGGACAGCTGACAAAGGTTTGATTTTGTGGTTCCTCTTCTATGAAAAAATTCTGATCATCTATTTATCCAATATCTACATGGAATAGTTGTCAAGGTGCCTGTGTGAGCCTAGGCGACCACAGGGCACCCAGGCGCCTAGGCGTGACCTAGCAATGGAACCTGAAAGTATAAAATCCTAGGATCCTTACCCTAAGCTACTTTATTAGTTTTTTATACTAACCAACATACCTGAATACTACCTATTAGCAATAAAATCATTCAAATGCGTAACTAAGTATATAATTTCAAATAAAAACATAAAATGCCATCATATTTACATCATTTAAATATATTAATATCAATGTTTAATAACCTGTTTCAGGCCAACAGAAAAGGGGGGATGCAGTGAAAAAAGAGAGAAATATAAGGGGGTGGAGCCCTGTTTCGTTCCCAAAAGTATTTTTTTTTTCAAGTAAGAAAATAAAGTACAGGAGTCATGGGACGATTTAAAGGAGGCAGATCCCCTGTTTTTGTTCCCAACAGGGTGTAACATATACAACAGGGTGTATTCTAATAAAATAAAAACAACCCATAAGATGATATAATATGTATGGGTGGCCATCTTAGTGTTGGGTGAGACAACTTCTAAAAATCGCCAAGGCATTGTCTTGACAACTATGCTACATGGGCAAGCTCAGTTCCTATCACAATATTTTTTTATTTTTTTATACTAAATTATCTATGTTATTTTTCCAGCCATGCAAGGGAATACTGCTATTTGGACCTCCTGGCACAGGCAAAACGATGCTTGCAAAAGCTGTTGCAACAGAGGCAGGAGCAAACTTTATCAATATATCAATGTCAAGTATTACTTCAAAGGTTTGGTGCAATTTTTGGTGGTATATTTTCATTTCTTCTTGTATGTGCTTCCTCTTGAATCTGACACAGTGCTTCATTGTGCTTACAGTGGTTCGGTGAGGGTGAAAAATATGTCAAGGCAGTGTTCACACTGGCAAGCAAAATATCTCCTAGTGTAATTTTTGTTGATGAGGTTAGTTGGATGCATTCATGAACCTCTAATTCTTGATTGTCTTCAAGATTACAGTGATTCCTCCAATTCCATATGGAACTTCATCTTATTTCTTTCTTTGTTTGTGAGTGTGTATTTTGGTTCATTGGATCCTTTTTGCAGGTTGACAGCATGTTGGGAAGACGTGAAAATCCTGGAGAGCATGAAGCTATGCGAAAAATGAAAAATGAGTTCATGGTGAATTGGGATGGCCTGCGTACGAAAGATAAAGAACGTGTACTGGTACTTGCTGCCACCAATAGGCCATTTGACCTTGATGAGGCTGTTATTAGGAGGCTTCCCCGAAGGTAAAAAAAGTTAATTTCATTGATTTTAAACATCAACATCATCATCATCACCATCCATTCCTTATCCCAATTATATGGAATCGGCTACATGAATCCTGTTTCACCAATCTGTTCTATTTAAAACCATATCCACTATTAAATTATCAGTGCTTAAGTCTTGTCTTACTACTTCTACCCAAGGTTCAAAATATCGATACAGGGCAGTACGCCGGTAGGGCGTATTGACCTGTATTGGTACTGCTTTTTTTATTTTTTTCTAATCTGGTTCAGAGGGGCTGGTGTACCCCCTGAACCACTCGTCGACCCGAAACACCCCCTTTAGGGGCACATCCTGAAGGCCCCGATATGATATGTATCGGCCGATACGTGACGAAATTTTGAACCTTGCTTCTACCCATGTCCTTTTTGGTCTAACCCTAGCTTTTCTAGCCCCTTCCACTTGCAATAAATCACTGCTTCTAACTGGAGCTGTTGGTGGTCTTCTATGCATGTGACCAAACCATCTAGCATACTCTCTCTCATTTTATCTCTTATCAGAGCTACTCGTACGTTTCTAGGGATGGCTTCATTCCTGATCCTATCCTTTCTAGTGTTTCCACTCATCCATCTTAGCATTTGCATTTCTGTGACACTCACGTGGCTAGCCTTACAACTGTTTTATAGTATTTTCCTTTTAATCCAAGTGGTATTCTCCTATCATACAAAAGTCTGGATGCACCTCTCCATTTTCCCCAATCTGCTCTAMTTCTCTGGGTGACATCCTCCACAATCTCTCCCTTGTTATGAATTATTGAACCAAGGTACCGAAAATGGTCACATTGAGTTATCTCTTGGTTTCCAATCCTAAGTGTATCTTGATTTGCAATCCTATTATTACTATATACTCTGTTTTAATCCTACTTATTTTAAAGCCTCTTGTTTGTAGGACATTTGTCTATGAATCATTATTTTGATTTTTTTATTGGTTTAGTATTTCAATTCTTCATATGGATTTTTTTTTTGATAATTTCTTCATATGGAAATATTCTCTGCAGATTGATGGTAAATTTGCCAGATGCTGCAAATAGAGAAAAAATTCTGAGAGTCATATTGGCCAAGGAAGAAATAGCACCTAATGTTGATTTAGAAGCAGTTGCAAATATGACAGAAGGCTACTCTGGAAGTGACTTAAAGGTTATCTAGTTATATTCATATGATCTTTAGTATCTTAGCTTTTGCATGGATTGAGTTTCTATTGACCAACTTTTTCGGTTTCAGAATCTTTGTGTAACTGCTGCACACTGTCCAATAAGGGAAATTCTGGAGATGGAAAAGAAGGTTAGTCTCGTGTTCATGGAAAGCTGTGGGACATTTTTTCGTGTCCATTCTTAATTCCACAATTTACTTGTGGTCACTATTTTTTCAATTCCAGTGGATTCACTGATTATGTAAAACTTAGATGTCAATTAACTCCAAGTAGTGGTGACCAGAGCAATGGTCCTTCTTGGCCCCAAGATCTGCTAAATCTGCTGCTATGCTCATTGTTCCTAATGATAGGCTCAATGGAACAGTATCTAGAAAATGACAGTACATGGCTGACTGATTATCATATAATATGCATTATATATGGAACTGGATTTGTATATATATTTGTTTTTTCTCCCTTTCGTAAGGGGCTGTTCTCTTTATTCTTGCTTAAAGTTCAGTGTTGACCCTTCTTTAATATGAGAACTTCTTGAGTGTGTTACATGTATATGGAACAGTAGATGCATTTTGCTTTTAAGGATAAAATCTTTGGTATAACCCACATAAAGCTTGGGCTAATGTCTTTAAAGGCCACTGGGTCACAGGTCAAGGGGTTCAACCACTGGATTGACCCAGTGACCTGTAATGCCATATGCATAAATATATAATATGTGTATTTTCTGTGGTTTAATGGTCATTTTCTATTTTTTTTTGAAGGAAAATAAAGAAATAAAAACCTATTAAATCTCTGGTGATGAGAAATCACCCCTAATTAAATAGAAATAAAAACAAAACCCAACAGTAACAACTGAAAAAAAAAACACCCCCAAGAAGCAAATTGTAAATAAAATTCTTGGAAATTTCCTCCAAGAGAGAGAGAGAGAGAGAGAGGTGATGACTGCCCTCCCACCTTTTATTCAAACCTCACATGAAATAAGGAAAGGCTTTACAAAACCATCTGGGTCACTTGAGAACCTCCATAGCCATCTTCCAAAGAAGTGAAAAATTAAAGGGAGAATGATGGTTCAGCCTAGGGTCAGAATTTGTAGCCTCAAAGTACATTTGGGGTAGGTGCCATCTCGGAATTGATGTTTATAGCTCTGCAGTGGAAATCAGAAATCTGCATTGGGCCTGTCCGTACTTCTCCGAAAATTAAATTGCTTCATCCTTCTAATACCCTAACTTCCATAGCTTACAAACTTGCAAACCTGCTCTCGGCTCACCAAATGAGCTTTAGATGAATTCCAGGATCAGCCTTCTGTCCACCTCCACCACAGGATTCAAGATGCTTTTAGAGGTGCACCTACCTCCTAGGGGAAGACCCAAATATTTGGAAGGAATGGATCCTGCTTTGCAGAAAAGCTCATCAGCCAAAAGAAAAGAGCATCATCAGAAAATTGTAACAGAAGGCTATCTTCAAACCTATCTTATCTACCTCAAAGTCTGCCCTCACCGCTCAGACTTTTTGATCATTCTGTTCAATTCCCCCAAAGGTGTTGTGGCTTAGTGGTAATATGCAATTCTTTGTAAACAGGGGGTTGTAACTCGCAAGTTCAGTTCTCTTCATTATCATTTTTACAATATATGGTGAAGCCATGGTCCAGGTAGGTCATTGGAAACCGACTGGGTCACTATAACCCAGCTGGTTTTCAATGGTTTGCACAGGTTAGGCCAATGTTTTAAAACACGGATGAATGACAAGAGGCATTCCACCACTTGGATGTGTGAGGCATAGTTCAAAATGTAAGAGGCATAGATTCCTGAGCACAAGGAGGTGTAAGCTTCCTAAAGAAAGGATATTTCAATTTTTTTTTTTTTTGTGTGTTTCACTTTTATATATTATGAAAAATTAAGAGGGAGGGGATTTCATTTTGTTTCTTTTTGTTTCCCTCCCCTTCCCTTTTTCTTTTCTCTTTTCATTTCCTTCTTTCTTTTCATACGAGGAGTGCATGAGGTGTATGCTTCAGAGGCATCAACACCTCTTGCATGTGCCTCAGGGCATCTTCCTGGTGTATGCTTCCCACGCCTTTTAAGACTTTGCGCTAGACAGTTTTTGGGAAAAACTAAAATTTGGGATTAAAAAATTGGGCTAGTAGCCAAATCTTACAGCATTGCTTTGCAACATCACAATTGGCACACAATGGAACCACAACTTCAATCTATTATTGTACAAATTATGTCCTTATCATCTTGCCTAATATGTTATTATGGTAGTAGTTACTTCTCCATTGTCGTTGACTAGAGTGTATGGTCCAAATTGTCCATCTAAAAGAGCTAGGTTCTTGGAGTAGTTGGGTATCATGAGGATATCCCTTGGTGTCTCGGGGGAACTTTAATGTCTCAAGATTTTGCCATGAGAAATCCACGAGTGGGAGTCTTAACTTGGAGTATGAGAGACACCTCTAGCTTCATAGCAAGGGACAACCTTTGTGATCTCCCTCTAAACAATGGGAACTTTACATGGTCTAACTTTCAAACTATTGTCCAAGGGATCATGCCTCTTTGCATCTCTAACCATTGGCTAGTGGCTCTTCAAACTGAAATAATAAGAAGAGGTAAGACCCCTTTCTGGCTGGAGAAATTTTGGAACTTATACAAGGGATTCAAGCAAAAGGTGGCTAGTTAGTGGGTTGAATTCAAGGAGGAAGGTTGGGCTGGTTTTTGGTTTTTGCAAATATCAAAATTTGTGAAGAGAAAGTTAAAAGTCTGGGCAGAGAGGAGTTTATGTCCTTTGAAGAAGAAAAAATAAGATGCTCTTGGAGATGGGGGACCTAGATAACAAGGATCAATCGGGGTTAATAGATGAAGAGGGGAGATTAAAAAGGGAGATTTTAAGGAGAGACTTAGAAAAGGTGGTCAGGAGGAAGTGTTCTGGAGGCAAAGATATAGGATTAAATGGTTGAAGGAAGGAGACAACAATTCCAGGTTCTTTCACAGTTATGCAACTAGAAGACAGAGAAAAAACTTGATCACCAAATTGAAGGTGGGTCATAGGGAAATAGAAGACCCTAAAGATATTATTGACGCTTTCCTAAATTACTTTAAGAGGTTGTATACAAAAGAAGGACAAAGAAGACCTTTTTTAAGTAACTAGGATGGATCTTTATTGTCAGACGAGAAAAGAGAGTGGATGGAAAGAGATTTTGAGGAAGAGGAAATTAAAAAAGTGGTGTTTAGTTTGGATTGAGATTGCGGCATCAAGCTCCTGGATTGGATGGTTTCCCCTTTTTCTATCAAATTTGTTGGAAAATAATCAAAGAGGATTTAATGGAAGTGTTTAAGGACTTCCATCATTCAGCAATTGTTAGCAAAGGCAACAACTTGACATTCATTTGGTTGGAAGTGTATACAAGGTTTTGGCAAAAGTGCTAGCAAGAATGGATTAAAGGGTGTGTTAGCACCCTTGTAATCAATGAATGTGTGGAGGACAGAAGAAAGAGAGGTCAATCGGGAGTTGTAATCAAGTTTGACCTTGAAGGCTTACGACAAAGTAGATTTGGATTGCTTGTTAAGTATTATGAAGCGGAAAGGACTTGGCAACAGATGGTTGTGATGGATTAAAGGGTGTGTTAGCACAGTTTGGTTTCGGTATTGATGAATGGAGAACCCAAAGGTTATTTTAATGCTAGTTGAAGATTAAGACAAGGTTGCCCTCTATCCCCTTTTCTTTCCACCATGGTGGTGGATATCCTTAGTCACTTCCTTTAGAATGCAAGGTCCTTGAATTTGTTAAGAGGCTTTGAAGTAGGAAGAGAAGCCACACAAATTTCTCATTTTCAATTGGCAGATGACATCATTCTTCTTTTTTAGAGGCTGATTTAGAGAATATCATTCATCTAAAGAGGGTATTTTAGTGCTTTGAGTTGGTGTTTGGGCTCTAGGTTAACTTCTCAAAAAGCTTCTTGATGGGAAGAAACTTGGAGGATAGGGTGCAGCTAGGCAGATTCTAGGAAGTTTTTGGGTGTAAAATGTAGAACTTTCCTATAACTTGGGGATGCCTTTAGGAGGTAATCTAAGAAGCACTCATTTCTGGGATCTGTGTTTGTAAAGTGCAAAAAGATATTAGCTACTTGGAAGTAAAACTACCTCTCGAAAGGGGGCAGACTCACTCTAGTTAAAACCTCTCTATAGTCTGCCCATTTACTATCTTTCAGTGTTCCTTATCCCTTTGAAGCTAAAATGCCAGATTGAGAAGCTCCAATGCGAATTTTTTTGTGGGATGGAGGTTGAGAAAAAAGGGCTCATCTTGTAAGTCGGGAGCAGGTTTGCAAACCAAAGGAAGAGGGAGGTTTGGGTATTGGGAAGTGGAGATTGTTGATGTTGCAAACCTCCTTCAGTGGTTGTGGAGGTCCCCTCTTGAACCAAATACGCTTTGGACAATCGTCAGCCAAACTCCAAAGCAAACCTTTGGTGGGGAAATCAAACCTTGGCTAAAGCTTATCCCTGCTTGTATTGGCTTACCCAAAGCTAGGAAGCTACCATTGCCACTCATCTCCTTCCTTCTGTCTCTGGGATTAGTCAGAATCATAGCTTTAGAAGATCTCTTACGGAAGTGAAGATTGCTGAAGTTGCAAACCTCCTCTCCTAGTGCCAGTAAAGGAGAAGCTGGGATCACGTCATTGACCCAATTAGAACTTTTCCAAGATAGCATCATTGCAAAAGTTCCATGTCTATTTATCTTGATTTGCATTTACCAAGTTAGCATCATAGTCAAATTTCTGAATGTGTCTTCAATTAGAACTTTCTTTTTTGAAGAGATTTAGTAGGATTCTAATAAGGAGTGTTCAATTAGATAGGAAACTTTCTTGTATGAGGCATAAGGGTGTAAAGAAGTCTATATAAAGAGTAGCTAGACCAAAGCTAGGGAAGTTCTATTTGATTGTCTCTTAATTATTCAATGAAGAATTGTTCTTCCTGTTTTTTTGGCTTTAGTTCTTTTCTTTGAAGCTTCTCTGAACGTGATTTATTTTCCAAACTGCGCCATCTCCTAACCCAGCTGGAAAATTCTCAACCAAGCCTTTCTTCAAGGCTCTCACTTCAACATCTTGTTTCTTTTTAAGAAGATTTGGAACACTCTAGCTCCTTTGAGAAATTCCTTCTTTGTGTGGAAGGCTTTGCCTAGGGAGAATAAACACCTGCAATCTAATCTAGAGAAAGAACAAAGGCAGATTATGCATTTTCTCCGCATGTTTGCACCTTGTGCCTTCGGGATGGTGAATCTATAGAGTATCTCCTTTTTCATTGTACTGAGACAAGGAAAGTATGAAACCATTTTATGCATATATTTAATTACAGACGGATAACCCTTCAACATGTTTTGGATCTTCTTAGACAATTGTTTGGTGGGGGCTTAGGACAGAGAGGGAAAGCCTTCTAGAGAACTCTTACCCATGCTGTGCTGTGGGGAGTGGGAAGAAAGAAACAAGTGAATTTTTGAAAACAAAAAAAGAACCATTGAAAATCTTATTTCTTATGTAACACGTGGATGAAAAGCTCTGAGATCTCTAAAGGGGTCACCTTATCGGACCTTCAAAGGAACTTAGTAGAGGTTCTTCAATCCTCTCTGTTGAACCCAGCTGTTGCCAGAGCTCTTCTGGGCAGGGAGAAGTTGGTGTAACTTTAAGCTTTGATGAAGTGCTTTCGATAATCCAGGGGAGGTGTGATTAGGGAGGAAGAAGGAAATATTCGTTGGGCTTTCAGTGGCCCAATAGGGGTACTGGACTCTACAAAAGTTGAGATTGTAGCTTTGGGGGTCTTCCTACTAACAATCGAAGGATATTCTGCAAACACTATAAAATGGTTAGGGGAGGACAGTGGGCCTTGGCATCTTATTCATTTTTTGGATAAAACAAGAGATATCATTACCCATGTATTGGAGGGGTAATTAGGGAAGAGGGAGGAAACATATTAGGCCCTATTCAGCAAGGTGATTCAAAAATAATTGTGGGTTGGCTTAAAAGGGGGAAGGGGTAACTCGGTAATTACGGAATGAGTTAAGGTGCTTCAAATGGCTATCTAAAGACATGATGCTTCAAATAAAATGGGTTAGGAGATCTGCAAACATTATGGCTGACAGTATAGCTAAACAAGGGATTCATCAACAATCCATGTTCTGGGATTATTTGTAATAATTGGGTTGGTTTAATTCCTTTGGACTTGTTATTTTGTATCACAAATTCTTATTGTAACTCTCTTTTCTAATTTAATGAATTAATATTTGTGTTGCTGATAAAAAAAGAGATATCATTACCCAAATGAATTTCAGAATTGGATGGATTTCTAGAGATTTGAATTCTGTGTCTGATAATCTAGCTAAATCAGGTTTCATAGGGATTCTCTGTTTAGTGACTCCATGCTACCATTGTAATTTAAAGTCTTTTGTCTACAGATGTAAACCTACGCAAGGTACTCTGTGCTTCTTCTTTAATGAATTTGTTAACTTATTCAAACAAAATCCAGCCATCAAATTCTATGGACATGAGGACCATTTCCTCTTGCGTATTGTGAGCAGATTGCCAAACATAATGTTTTCTTTTTATGATTGTTGTGTTTGAGTTTATTGATATAGTTTAGAGTTGCATTTATTCACCAATGGTGACTGTTGGTCATTTTACAGATGCAGTTTTTGTGAGCAGATTGACAAACACAACGTTTACTGATGCAGTTTTTGTTTGTTCTTTTTTCAAGTTTGATGTTGGACAACAAAATCAAAATTTAAAATTCCATTGGTCATTTTTCAGGACAAAGCTCTAGCATTATCGGAGAACAGACCACCACCTGCATTACATGGCAGTGAAGACATTCGTCCTCTAAACATGGATGATTTCAAATATGCGCATGAGCAGGTAACTTAATTTAGGCATTGTATAGATCTTTCAACTATAAAGTGATGATGATTTTGTTATTTTTATTTTTTTGAATTCATCACAACCTCTGATTTTGCTGTTCTTTTTAGTTATTCTATAGATATTATGAACACCTCTGATTCAAAATCTTTTGTGTGCACAAGATTTTTGAATTCAATGAAGGCGGTCAAGGGGCTATCTGCTAACAACTGAAATCGCCGAAGTAAATGAATTATTGCTTTGTCTTTTATAGTTTATAAAACAACTAAATAATGAAATATTCAAGGTTATGGTAATCCATCCAACCTATGCTTAAGCTATCAAGGAGCTAACATCTCCTTAAAAACTTAAACTTACTAACTAAAAGGCAAAACAATAAGTTTGTCCGTTCAATCACTTCAGCTGTTACCAAATGGCCCCAAGGACCTCTTTTGTTGAACATATGAAAGAAGAGAGTAAGAGAAATGTGAGTTGGGAAAATACCTTCACATCCAACCTGTGACACAAAGGATTCAAAGCCTTTATCATATTTCAGACAAGCTTCTGTCTAACACCTGAAAAGGTAATTGGTGCTCAAACTCTTTGGAATCTGAGAACCATGAACCAATTTTCTCTACAGCCCTCTAATCTTGTTCATTTTTCCAGACTTATTGTTGAAAACTCCCTCTTTTCTTTCAGACCAGACTGTCCATTTCACCATTGCAGGTATGAGCCCCCAATGATTTTCCCTTTGCTGCCTAAACCCTTGATATGTCATTCAGTCAACTCCAGCACTGATTTAGTCATAACTCCACCCAGGTTTGTTTCCCTGACAAAATGCATCCACATTCTATATCTGCTTGTGCAATGAATTCACAGGCGATCTGCAGTCTTGAATCATTGCATACGCATAACATTCCTTTGGTTCTCTCGTTGTATTCCTCATCTGACTAAGGATTTGACCGAACAGGTTTGTGAGGGAAACTTACACCACTGCCCATTCTAAGCCTTCTGACAAAGGTTTTGACTGAACAGGCTCCATTTTCGTCCCATTTTCATGCTCTTCTATCTTACTTATCATCCATAATATTTTGATTCCTTAGAAAATGTGGCAATCCGGCAACTCCATTGCTATAAACTTAAAATACATAAACATAACACGTAAAGCGTATTCAGATTAAAATTTAAAAATAAAATCAAACATATGAAACATTTTCAAGCATATAAAACCCACAATCTTTTTTTTTCCCTTTCAATTGCATTACAAAAAAATGATTTTATAGTTTTAATTGCCTTATAAGAAGACATTTTATTAGGATTAATGAATGAACATTAGCAAATATGGGGTTCTTAGAGCTTCAGTGAGAGAGCGAGGGGCTGGGCTGGGGGTCCAGGGGGCAGAGCCCCCAGCCCAGCCACTTGGTTCAAAAAAGAACAAAAAGTAAAAAAGGCATACACCTGGGCTGAAGCACAAGGTGCACCAGGTGCTCTCCTTTTGAAAGTGCTGCCCCTGGGACCTAGGCGAGGTGCATACTTTATAATGTGTGTTGCTTGAGCATTTAGGCGCACCTTTTAAAACACTGGCCCAAACTTGGCTGTAATAAGTTTGCACCTTTGAAATACATCTTTTTAATACCTAGACCAAGTTTTTCTCTTGGGGAGGAAATTTTATCCCAACCTACTAGGATTTTCCTCTTCTTTTGCCATCTTTCCCAAAGAAATTCCCTTTGGAGCCTCCTTCCAATCTTCCTCAAAATGCTTTGTCCAGGCTCTCAACCCTTCTATAACCGTACTCTGGATGTGACCCAACCTGGTGTACAAAACATTAGGGAGAAATTATAGACACAACTTGCCGAAGGAGCCTACTCTAGCATACTACTTTCATTGACCATGATTTTGGCCTAATGCCTCCTCTTGCCTCAAAGGTTTCTGGTCTATAATTGGCACTTGGAGAATAAAAGCTTAGTAGTGTGCAATGAATCAAAAAAGCACAGCTTTCAACTGAAGAGTTCATTAAATGTAGAGGAATACCCTTTGACCAACCATCCTTTCCAAAGCCTGAACTTTAATCTTTTTGAGTTACCATGAATCATCCCCATAGAGGAAATCAGGAAATCAGGCCTGTAATAGGCCTTTACCACCAGCCTATGGTTGTCCATTGTGCTTCTCTCTTAAGCATAGGGGCAACCTCATAATCTTCAACAACCTAAGGAAATCAGGTCAACTTTTTCTCAACCCTCATAAAAGTTTAGCAAAAGATACCCTCTGGATTGAGGAATATCGTAATTACTATTCCTCCTTTTAGTGAGTCCAAAAATAGAGATGACAAATTGACCCGTCCCCGTGGGGTCCCACCCTGCCCCGATCAGGGTGGGTTTTTGACCCCTGATTGGGATTCGGGGAAACCCGAAACTTTGGGGATCGGGGACGGGGCAGGGATGGTATTTTCCTACCCTGCCCCACCCATGCCCCCGAATATCGTAATTACTATTCCTCCTTTTAGTGAGTCCAAAAATAGAGATGACAAATTGACTCGTCCCCGTGGGGTCCCACCCTGCCCTGATCAGGGTGGGTTTTTTGACCCCTGATTGGGATTCAGGGAAACCCAAAACTTTGGGGATCGGGGATGGGGCAAGGATGGTATTTTCCTACCCTACCTCACACATGCCCCCGAATCTGGCCCTACTATATTGTATAACATAATATATATTGTGAAGTTTGTGTGGTAGTTTTTGATTATTTATCGTTTAGATAGGAAGTGGGGACCACAACACTCTTCTTGGGTCCTTTTTGAGTAGTTATTGTAAGTGTTTTATGATCTATTTTAGCCGCCCTATAAGGTCATATCGGTCTTTGTACTCATTATTTTAAACTCTAAATAATAGTGAAGAGGGCAGCCTTTATTGCTCTTTTCTCTCTCAAATCTCTTCTCTTCTCTTTCTTCTCTCTTTCCTTTTTCAAGAAATATTCTTTTTCTTTTACAGATTTTTATTTTAGCAATTTTCTACTTGGTACCAGAGCTCGGCTAGGGTTTCTTGGAGTTCTTCCATGCAGTCCTAGATCAGTATAAAGGGCTGATTGATCTACTTCAGATTGCGTAGTTCTTGGATTTTTTTGGTGTTTTCTAGTCACTAGGAGGGTGATCTATGTTTTGGCATCAAAATCAGGATAAACTAGAGTGGGGAAGAGTCCTAGTCAAGTTGGACTCTTCAATTTTGATTTGATCTTGGGCACTCAGGCATTGTTGGACTTCTCTAGGTATTCTATAGGGGCGGTTAGGTTTTTGGGAAGTTTTGGGCCCTCCCCGATTCACATTTCTCTCCAGTGGGAGACAGTGGTAGGAGATAGATTTCTCTCCGGATAGGGTTTTCTTCTTTCGGAAAGATCTGTTACCCTTCTGTGTGAGATCAATTTGATATTGGAGGCTTTCTACCTAGTTATTTCCTAGGTTTGAATTGTTTGAAGTTAAAATGGAGAGTTGGAGTATTGAGCAAAAATCCACCGATAACATGGGTCCAGGTGTTAGAGGTAGTAGTGATATTTTTGGGTCTAGAATTATTACTACATTGAAATTTGATGGTACAAATTACCTAGAATGGGCATAATTAGACAAAATGGCCATTGGTTCTCGTGGGAAACTGGGGTACATTACTAGGGAGGAGAAGAAGCCTGATACTGATCCCTTCCGGTGGGTACAAGAGAATTACATGGTGATGGTCTAACTGTATAACTCTATGTTACCTCACATTGGTAAACATTTCTTGTGGGCTAATACTGCAAGGGAGATTTGAGATGGAGTGACTAAAACCTATTCCCATAAACAAAATGTAGATAGAGCCTATCAATTAAGGAATTAGGTGATTAGTACAAAACAGGGAGATAGACCTCTTGCCTTGTATTTCTCCACGCTGAAAACTCTTTGGCAAGAGATGGACCACTTAGAAATTGTGGTTTGTGAGAGTATGAAGGATGCAACAACCTATCAGGGGTTGGTGGAAAAGAATAGGGTTTTTGAGTTATTGGCTAGGCTAAACCCTAAATTTGACATTGCCAGGCAACACCTCCTTTCTAGAGAAAGTGTGACTCTTTCTCAAGCTTATGCCTTTGTCTCTAGAGAAGAGAGCAAGAGGAATGTTATGTTGAGACAGTCTGGGATTGATCAGTCGGCTACGATTAGTATAGCCAAATTTAAGCCAAATGGAGACAATGGGATTAGTGAGGCTAGGAGGGAGGACAAGGACTTTGGTGTGTGACTATTGCAAGAAGACTAAGCATACTAGAGACACTTGTTGGAAGCTTTACCCTTATCTCATCATACCAACTCGAGTCAAGAACAAGAAGGGAAATGCAAATTTGGCAATTACAGGAGACTCTTCGAGACCCCTTCCCCAAGTTTATTTGGAGTACATTGCAGCAGCAGCAGCAGCAGCAATGAGAATTGAACTGGAGAAGTATGGACAGCTTATGCGTAAGAAGGATTCAGCCAATTCTAGTTCTTTAGATGGGCAGCACGATGCAAGAGCCAATCACACTACTTCCTTTGCTCGTACAGGTAGTTCATACGAGGTTGCAAATCATGCATCCACCTCAGGTAAGGAGGGACCTCCCTGGATTATAGACTCAGGAGCATTTGTGCTCTGGTAGAGATGGAGTTTCTACAGCAGATGGTTCCCACATTCCCATTGTTGGGAAAGGGATAGTTAGAGTGACTAATGACATTACTTTATCCTCTGTCTTACATGTCCCTAGACTCCATACTAATATTCTTTTTGTAAGCTCTCTGATAAAAAAATTGTATTGTTCAGTGACCTTCCTTCCTGGTAATTGTGTTTTGTAGGATCTGAAATCAAAGAGGACGATTGGGAGTGGTCATGAGGTGAATGGGATCTATCTTTTGGATGAGTTTCCAAGACATCAAAGCCATCATGTTAGTAGCAACAGTAATAGTGGATTAGAGTCCGTGAGTCAAATTATGCTTTGGCATAATTGTTTGGGTCATCTTTCTTTCATTTCATTAAGGTCTTTGTTTCCAAAGTTGTTTGAGTCTATTCAGTTGTCTAGTTTGTTATGTGAAAGTTGTCAGTTGGGAAAGCATTGTAGACATTCTTTTAAACCAAGTTATAAAAGTTCCTTTGCTTTTGATATTGTTCACACTAATGTAYGAGGACCTTACCACATTTCTTCCATGGGTGGTTACCGTTACTTTCTTTTGTTTGTGGATGATCATACACGGTATTCTTGGATATATTTGATGATATCACGTGATGAAGTACTTATTTTGGTGTGACAGTTCTACCAGATGGTTCTCACACAATTTGGAGTGAGGAATAAAATCTTAAGATCAGATAATGCCAGAAAATACTTTGAGAAGGACTTGGCCACATATTTCTTGGAGCATGGTGTGATTCATCAGAGTAGTTGTGCATATACACCGCAATAGAATGGGGTAATAGTGAGGAAAAATAAACACATTATGGAGGTGGCAAGAAGTCTTATGGTGTATGCCTCAGTTCCTATTCGTTTTTTGGGGGATGCAGTTCTCACAGTCATGTATCTGATGGGGAGATATTTCATATACCTTTGAGAGTCTTTGGGTGTGTTTCCTTTGTTCACATTCTTGGTCCTCATCACAAGAAATTGGATCCTAAGGGTCAAGAAATGTGTTTTGCTTGGGTATGCTCAAAACTAAAAGGGGTATTGTTATGATCTAGTGTTGGGGAGCAGGTTTGTTACTATGGATGTTACCTTCTTTGAGTTTACTTTCTTTTATTCGGGTGGTTATCCTTAGGGGGAGTATTTTGGGGAGGAGAACTCACAACATGTCTCTCTTCCTGTTTCATTTATTCCTTCATCTGACCCATCTGTCTCACCATCAGCAGCTATAGTCCCACTAGTTGATCCACTACGGCTAGCTTCACAGCTCTATTAGTGCTGCCAGAAGAGGGTTGACTCCACACATGCTCCGATAGAAGAACCTGCACCACTCTCCGTCAGTCCATATGAAATCCCAGGTTTGGCTGATACAGTTCCAAGTATTTCCCTTGAACCTGAGCCTATTATTTCCCCTAATAGTGATGTTTTTGTACCTAACATTGTTGTTATAGCTGATCCCACTGATCTTGATCTTCCCATTGCACTCCAGAAAGGGAAGAGAAAGTGTATAGCCTATTGCACATTTCACACTATCTTTCCTACAATGCCTTGTCCCCCTCCTACCATGCTTTTCTTTCTTCCTTGAATTCTATGTCTATACCCAAAAATGTCAATGAGACTCTCTCCAAACCTAAGTGGAAAATAGCTATGCAAGAAGAAATTGAAGTTTTGGTTAAGAATTGGACATGGGAGATACTTGATCTTCCTACAGACAAAGAGACAATCGAATGCAAATGGATGCTCACTGTGAAGTACAGGGCTGATGGCAGTATGAGGAGTACAAGGCAAAGTTGGTTGCAAAATGGTATACACAAACCTATGGTATCGATTACTTGGAGACTTTTGCACCAGTTGCTAAGATGGGTTTAGTTCGAATTCTCTTGTCCCTAGTAATTACCTATTCATGGCCTCTATTCCAGCTTGATGTTAAAAATGCTATTCTTAATGGTGATCTGCAAGATGAGGTATATATGGACATTCCAACTGGTTTTTATGAGAATGTTGATAAGGGAAAAGTTTGCAGGCTGAAGAAATCACTATATGGTTTGAAACAGTCACCTAGGGCATGGTTTGATAAGTTCAGAGGGGCACTTATCCGTTTTGGATACACACAAACTCAATTTGATCATACTCTCATTGTAAAGAGGAGAGAGACACTCTTATCAATATTGATTATATATGTAGATGATATAGTTGAGATCAAGGATCTAGGTGAACTGAAATATTTTCTGGGGATTGAGGTTGCAAGATCCAAGCATGGGATTTTCATCTCTCAGAGGAAATATGTGTTGGACTTACTACAAGAGATTGGGAAGCTAGGAACTAAACCAGCTGATACTCCTATTGACCCAAATCATAGAATTAATGCTTTGGATGGTGAGTTGGTTAAGGATGTGGGAAGATATTAGAGGATGGTAGGCCAACTACTATATTTATATATGACACGTCTAGACATTTCCTATGTTGTTAGTGTTGTGAGTCAGTATATACATGCTCCTCAGGTTCAACACTGGGAAGCCATTGGGAGGATACTTGTTTACCTGAAGAAGCATCCTAGTAGCGGGATTCTTTTCTCAGACCATGAAAATTTAAAACTGGAGTCCTACATAGATGTAAATTGGGCATGTTGTTTAAATGACAGGAGATTTACATCAATGTATACACCTTTGTGGAAGGAAACTTGGTTTCATGGGAGAGTTAAAAACAGCCAATTATAGCTAGATCAAGTGCAGATGCTGAATATAGATCTATGGCTCATGATGTTTCAGAACTACTTTGGGTGAGATATCTATTGAGTGAGATTGGAATAGAAACTAAGGAACCCATGATGTTATATTGTGACAACCATGTTGCAATCAATATTGCCCACAATCCAATTCAACATGACAGGACTAAACACATTGAGGTTGATAGGCATTTCATAAGAGAGGGTGACAATTGGAGAAATTTGCTTGCCTTATGTCTCCTCTGAATTACAGTTGGCTGATGTCTTCACCAAAGGGGTTGCAAAGTATAAGCTTGAACACAATCTACACAAGTTGGGAATGTGTGACATTTACTCCCAACTTGAGAGGGAGTATTGAGGTTTTAGACAGTTTTGTGCAATTTGTAGTGGAAGCTTTTGATTATTTATTGTTTAGATAAGAAGTGGGGACCATAGCACTCTTGTTGGGTCCTTTTTGAGCAGTTATTGGTCTTTGTACTCATTATTTTAAACTATAAATAATAGTGAAGAGGGCAGCCAGAATTATTGCTCTCTTTTCTCTCTCAAATCTCTTCAAGAAATATTCTTTTTCTTTTACAAATTTTTATTTCAGCAGTTTTCTACTTATATAAAATTTGTAATATGTTAATATATGCTATATTATATTAGGGAAAATTCCTGATTTGTACCATGTACTTGGGCCTAGTGCCACTTTAGTCCCGAACTTTAAAGCGCGACAATTCAATACTGAACTTTCGAAATGTGTCAATCCAGTAACTGTTGTTAACCAACCTGTAGTCAATTAATTAAACCATAAGGGTAGTTTAAGAAATTTGCCCTTTGGTAATTTAATGCATTCTGTCATCTGACTTATGTTGGGGATTTTGGCGCAAAGTGAATATTCAGAGGGTCTGTCTCATATAAAAGTTTAGGTGGTATTTGTTGTTGACCCCATAGTACAAGGAATATCTCTCTATCAAATTTTTTGATCAAATCAAATTGAAAACTAGGATCATGATCCAAATTGAATTTGAATCCATCCTATTTTGCCGAATTTGGATATCCCTTTATCAAATTTTGGGATTGGATACAACATCATTAGTGAATTTGAACTCGGATTGACCTTTGTAAAATTCGTTTGATCATTGGATCGGATGGATATTATTTGCATCGACATTATAGTAATTAAAACATTGATGACCTGTCTGATGGATATTATTTAATACTTTGTTTATGCATTCAAGTGGAATGACTTGTGAACCATGTCCCATTTGGGAGGGCTGAGCTGAAGATTCATCTAAGCTGGTTAAGGTTCTTTGAAGCGCTCCAGGTTCAAAGAGGCTGAAGTCTTCAAATGAGTGACTGACAGCCGATTTGGGCTCTCTGGATTATTCAATTATGGTATATAAGCTCTGTGTAGGGCCCACCTTGGAAAGCCACAAGCCATTGTGCTTCAGCCAAATGGGCACTCAGTAACCTTAGAAACTTAGACAGATTAGTGGAAAAAAAAATCTGCTTCTGGTGACGAGTATTCTGATGAAACATACTGCAGTTGTGTTTTTTTTTTTTTTCTTTTTTTATATATTTTTTCCAAAGCATAGTATTAGTACCTAGGTTTCCTGTTTTGATGGAATTTCAACTCCACCCTTGTCTTTGAGCTTAAAATTCCATAACTATTGTATAAAAAATTATATTGTTTGCCAAAGCCACTGCATTTTGAAGGAATAAGGCAGTATAGTAATGCTCCTTTAATTACTCGAGGATTTCTGAATGCTCAGTTCTGTGCCGTTTATATAGGTATGTGCAAGTGTTTCATCAGAGTCAGCAAATATGAATGAACTTCTCCAATGGAATGAGTTGTATGGAGAAGGCGGATCAAGAAAGAAAAGATCACTCAGCTATTTCATGTAAAGGTATCCTATTTGTACAGTCCAATTTTTTGCCGCTTTTTCTTTTGCCTCTACAGCCAGACGAAAAATAGGAATTGTTATTGATGGATATTCCATCACAGGCTTCAATATATCATGTATAGTGTGATATTTAATCGGCTCTATTTATATGATCGTTAATCTAATTAGATGTTTGCCAAGCTTATGGTCCAAAGGAAGCTATTTTGCTACTATGGTGATTTTTTCTTGTATAAATTCAATTTCAGCAATGTAATAAGCATCATCATGATTTTCTTTTCAAATTTTATTTTCATTTTCTTGGAGCCAGATGTGTAATTATTGGAAGAGGCAAAATGAAATAATGAACCAATCTGAAGCCAGCATTACCGAACTCATGGTTTTCAAAACCAGACCGGAAATTTTTTTTTATTTTTTTTCAGAACGGGCCATCCGTTCGGTTAGAACGGTCAGACTGTTTGACCTGGGAACCAGATTCCTGACCGGTTCGTTGTCTGCTTCAATTTTAAAAACCTTGATCGAACTTGTGTTAAACCATATATTCAAGATAACTCGTTGGCAGCAATCCTGCTGGTTGTACTTGTAGGGAATTCCGGGTTCTACCTTCATTACGGTTTGGGGTGGTATGGGCCTAAGGGGCTTCAACTTTCAAGAAAGAACAAGAAAGTCTAAAATATTCAAGAAGCAGCATTGCTTCAAAAAGTGTTGACTTGAGGGAATGTTTGGATTTGGAAAGCAAGTAGAAATGGAGTAATTTCATGTATTGGCAAGTTTTAGGCAATTGTAATTAATTAAACCTTAAGGGTAGTTTAAAAAATTTGCCCTTTAGTAATTTAATTTAAAGCAAGGTTCGAAGTATCGTTACATATTGGCTATATCAGCTGATATGTATCGTTTTGGGACCTTTCTGATACGCCCCTACAGTGGGTGTATCGGGGTTCTGAATCAGTTCAGCGGATGGAGGGATCTTAGACCGGCTCCCCTGAACCAGTTTTGAAAAAAATAAATAAAAAAAAAGTAAAAAAACAAGTATTGAAATGCCTGATATGCCCCTACTGGCGTATTGGACGTATTTTTAACCTTCATTTAAAGCACTCGTTGTCGACCCCATAGTACAAGGGATATCTCTATCAAATTTTTGGATCAAATCAATTTGAAAAATAGGATCAGGATCCAAATTGAATTTGAATCCATCTTTTTTTGCCGAATTTGGATATCCCTTTATTAAATTTTTTGATTGGATTCAACATCCTTAGTGAATTTGAACTCGGATTGACCTTTGTAAAATTCGTTGGATCRTTGGATCGGATGGATGTACCCTGATTCAAATCTGACCCGATCCATTTGCATCCTTGATTCGGGTTAGGGTGGCCAGATACTTAGCGAGGACATGGAAAATTACCATCCCTATCTTAGCTTACCTAATTCACCTATTCCAATCCAACAAAATTAGCTTGATCTATGTATAAAATAGTTAAACTAATTTTCAACAATTTTGAACTAATAACAAACATCAATTTAAATGAAAACTTTTCAATTTTCAAATAATTTGAACTAACAACCATAAATTTAAATAAAATTTTCAATTTTCAAATAACAACATTTTTCAATTAACACCGCTTTTCAAATATTTTCAACAACTTTTAATTTTCAAATATTTTCAGCAACCATCAAATGTTTTTATTTCTCAAGGCAAGTTTGGATCACTTGCCAACAAATGTTCCAACAACATCTAACTCTACACATCTCATACATGGTGGGTCCCATTTTTATGGTGGGCCCTAGTTTTATAGCAAGGTGTACGGTGTTAGATCAAGTTGGTAGGGTATTCTAACTCGCTCAAGGCCGCATCCATGGATTAGACTTGAGCTGGACAAAACAAAGATCCAACCCATTTGAATCATCCTCTTAACCCGATTTATGGCCACAGTTAGGGGTAGACCTGTTCATGGGTTGGGCCAGGCCGGGTTGGACTTTTACTCTTCATAAACATGATTTTGTTAGGCCCGAGCCCGAAGCCCGCCCTAACAAAAGAAAGAACTCATCGCCAGTGATTGTGTTCGCCAGTGCTGAGTTCGCGTCTATGAGAGAGGGAGAGAGAGAGAGAGAGAGGATTCACCAGCCGGTGCTCAGTTCGCGGTGAGATGCGATTTTGACAGTGAAAAGAGGAGTCAGTTCGCGTCCGAGAGAGAGAGAGAGAGGACTCACTACCACCATCGCCGGTGCCTGTGTTCGCCGCTTCGTCGATGTCTAAGATTTGAAAGAGAAGAAGTGAGAAGAGGAACGAGAGAGAGAGAGAGAGAGAGAGAGAGAGAGAGAGAGAGAGAGAGAGATAGAGAGAGAGAGAGAGAGAGAGAGAGAGAGAGAGAGAGAGAGAGAGAACACTCACCGCCAGTCTATCGGAGTTGTTGCGTCGGTGAATGTTCGCCAGTTCTGCAGCTGCTTGAGAGTGTGAGGAGGATGTGAAGAGAAGAGAGGTTCGGCATTGGGCAATTTGGCTAACAGGAAATGTGGAAAGAGATGAATGAAAAGGGTTAGGATATTAGGGTTTTTGGGTTTAGTCTATAGGTTGGGCTGGGCTATTTTGGCAAATCTCGAGCCCGGCTCGAATTTATTGTGGGCCAAGCTTTTTGGCCCGAGGTCAAGCCTGCGGGCTCATTAGTGTGTTCAAGCCCATCTGGGGGCCAGGCCGGCCCATCAGGCCACCCGGCCCATGAACAGGTCTAGTTAGGGATGAGCAAAAAAACCAAAAAACCGAACCGACCGAAAAATCGATTAACCAAACCAATCAGTTGGTTTTCAGTTCGGTGTTTTTAAAAAATCGAAGGTACTGGTTTGGTTTTGGTTAGCGAATATAGAAAATCGGCAGTTAATCAAACCGATCAGTATACATATATTTCTATATATTTATGTATATTAAACATATTTTATATTTTTATATATTATAAATTAATAAATATGCATTATATATAAAGATATATATTTATAATATATGATTTATTATTTATGATTTAAAATATAATATTTTAAATATATTTATATTTTTTTATTATATACTTATAATATATATTGTAGAAATTAAAAAACTGAAAAATCGACCGTTAACCGAACTGGTCAACCGATTACCGATGGGCTTTGGTTCGGTTTCGGTTACCGGTTTTTCAAAAAACTGGTAGTACCAGTTCGGTTACAAAAAAAGGCCCACGGTTCAGGCCGTAGCTACAATGTTCACCCTATTGAGCAAAAACAAAAGTTGCGAGTGGGTCAATAGAGCTATGAGTGAGGTGGTTTTGTGAGGGAGATGAAAGAGTTTTTGAGATAGAGTTGAATGGTCAATCAAGGTTGTTAAATATATTTTTATGACAAAATTACCTCTAACATGGGCCCAAACATTCACCAGGCCCACAAATTTTAGAGTCGGGCTTGGGCCTAATAATTCAAGTCTGGCCTAGACCTGAAGTATAGGCCATATTTGGGAGTGCTTATTGAATAAGTGCTTAAAAACAAGTGCTTATTCGAATAATCACTTATTTGCATTTGGCACCCAACTTTTTCAAGTGCTTACTTTTTAAAATAAGCACTTATTTTATATTGGGTGTTTGGTAGCCTTTTTCTCTAATAAACGCTTAAATAAGCATTTGTGACTCTTTTTGTCCTTCATTTTCTTTCAAATTTTCAAAATATACCCTTTGAAAGCACTTCTATTAAATTACTTTTATAAAAAGACTTTTATGAAAGTACTTGTATAAAAACACTTTATGAAAGTATTTTTATGAAAGCACTTTTGTAAAAGTACTTTTATGGAAGCACTTTTAAGAAAGTACCCTTACGAAAACACTTTTGTAAAAATACTTTTACTTTTACAAAAGTGTTTTCGTAAAAATGTTTTCATAAAAGTGCTTTTGTAAGCTTTCATAAAAATACTTTTATAAAACTCAACTAGGGATAATTTTGGAAGAAAAAAAATGAATAAGTGCTTATTGTATAAGCACTTAAAAAAGCTAGAAATTTGGGATTAAAAAAAGCCCTTATTTTTAAAATAAGCACTTAATTCGGGTTTATTTCCCAAATACCAATAAGTGCTCAATGGCCCAAATAAGCATTTATTTTTAAACACTCCCAAACATGGCCTAAGGTTGACTAGCCATATTAGGGGTAATTTTGTTATAAAAATATTTAATAAGCTTGATAGGCCATTTTAGGGGTAGTTTGGTCACGTAAAATACTGAAATGCTTATATGTATATAACGGTAATCTTAACAGAATGTCAGTTTTGGACAATAAAATTCAATGATAGGAAGCTCTCTTAAGGTTTTGAAAAGTTATGGTAAGTTTTGGTTTTGGTCTCCACCCTCCAACTAAAGTTTATTTGTTCTATATAGGTCAGTTTGGGAGGTGTGTATATTATATTTGTGCTTTTTCCAAATTGAGGGGAAGAGTATAAATACAAATACATAAGACTCCGTTTGGGAAGAGTGCAAATGCCAATTCAGTGTATATATACACTCTGATTCAATTTTGCTAGTGTTTGGTAATAATACATTTGTCTTGACAATGACAGCAAATGCAAATTTATTACAGTAGCGACATGGATTCAATTCTCGCTACCACTTACTTAGCAGAGAACAAAGGTGTTAATGGACCGGTTTTGAATTGGACCCCATCCAAACCACAATCAATTTGGATATATTGGATGGACCAACAATACATATTGAATTAGACCAGTTTTTGCATTCAAAATTGATCAATATTATATATATATATATAGTCAAAAAAATCATATTTACACCTACCACAATTAAAAATAATTTGACAAAAAAAGATAAATTTATCCATACAAAACTAAACCAACTTTACATTTGCATCATCCATAATACACTCTACCAATTTGTATTTGTATTGAGACTCTGTTTATATTATTTCCAAACGAAGCTTAAAGTGCACATATAAATATAAAGTATAGAAATACCTTTTACAAGGTTTTTGCATTCAATATTTTTTTTCTCAACGGAGCCATAATAATTTCAACTTTCAAGAATCAAGAGCGGCTGGTACAATTATTGATTTTGAATTTGAAATATCATATAGTACGTCAGTCAAGCACGCTCATTGCTTGGTTGTACCACCGAACTTGATTCGAGGTGGTGGGGCCACCACTCTCCCATTTTCTCTATATTATCATGTGCTTGGCTTGTTGGGCCTTGGCCCTTGGGCTTTTCCTTTACATAGTCAAATATGGTAAACAGCTGACATAAAATATAAAACATAAAACATAAAACAAGCGATTGGATTTGAATCGGTCAAAGAAATGGATCGGATTCGACCTTTTGTCATTTCGTCAAATAATCAAATATTAGTTTAGTTGATAACAAAAAATAGATGGCCTATTTTAACAAAAAAAAATATATAAAATATAAAAATAATTAAAATAAAAAATTATCAAATAGATCATTAGTCGATTCAATGATTTTTGGTGAAAGATCAGGTTTAGAATAAAATAGAATCGATTGCTTGAACGATTTTCAAATCAAAATGTTCAACCAACTGCCTGTAGAAGTGGTAATGTAACGCATATGATTGTACCGTCAATGGTTTGGTTTGAGGACTGGGTGGGCCAAAAGTTTAGAACCGAACCAATTATTAATCTACATGTGAAATAACAACTTCGAACTTCGTTTTTTGATTATATAACCTTGATAAAAATGACAGTAATTGTAATTTGATCATATGTTGCTACAACAAGTATTCTCAACCAAAACTATCTTACATAATCAGATCGTAACAACAACGTGGTATTGTGTGTTTATTGCATTCATGCATTGGAAATTGAGAAAAAAACAGAGGGTATAAAATAAAATGTAAAGGCGCTGCTTTTCCAATGTGAAATATAAGTTAAAAATTAGTTTTAATAAGAGAAAAAACTATTTTCAAAGATATGTGTGTAAGTGTATTTTTTATGTAATTGATCAATCAAATCCAATAAGCAATAAAAAACATTAAAATGATGTTTTCTTTTAAAAACTAATGACACCGGATCTGCTCCTCACAGGCACATCCCATCGTGCATTGGGAGCACCTCCCATACTTATGTATTATTATTTACGGGAGATGTTCCCAATGCATGGTAGGATGTGCCTATGAGGTCATTGTGAGGCATCATGTGTGAGGTTGCTGTAAAGAGCGGCGCTGTGTGAAAAGCACATCCAGACTCATGTTTGTTTTTATTTTCATGGGAAAATATTCCCAATGGGACTGTGAGGATCAAATCCGATGCCGATCTCTTTAGGAGAACAGATCTACTCCTCACACCTGGCGCCTCACAGGCGTCTCACACACACACACACATCCTACCATGCATTGGGAACATCTCCCATACTTATTAGTCATTATTCATGGGAGATGTTCCCAATACATAGTGGATGTGCTTGTGAGGTGTCCATTTGTGAGGAACAGATCCTGCTTCTCTCTTTAGACTAGAGAAAGGAGAGGTCTTCCCACCAAAGACGGGATCTGCTCCTCACATGCACATCCACAGTGCATTGGGAACATCTCCCATGAATAATAACTAATATTCACAAAAGATGTTCCCAATGCATGGTACAATGTGCGTGTGAGGCGCCAGGTGTGAGGAGTAGATCCGGTCTCCTTCCCTCTCACCCATTGTATCTAATTCAGGAATTCGCATATGCACCCCACAAGTACCCAACAACACATCCCAACCGTGCATTGGGTGCATCTCTTGAAGGCAAATACTGGACATTTCCCAATACACGGTCGGGATGTGCTGTGGGGCACTAGTGGGGCGCAGATAGACCTGGCAAAAAGTTGACCCAACCCAACCCGGATCATGGGTCAACCTACTGACCCAATTGTCAAGTCTAATTGGGATTATTTATGCATTGTTAGAAGTTTCCACTCTTTAATTTTTTCTATGTAGTCTCTACTTTTTATTGTTTACTCTTTAAATTGTTAAATGTTCAAATTTTTTAACTTTATATTTAGAATTTTAAGGTTGATTCTTTTAATTTTGACATTTTTATGTAACTTTTCTTTATTTTTTTAAATTTCAATTATTTTTTTGGATGACTTGAATTGACCAATGGGTCAACCCTAACCCGAATATTTAGGGTTAGGGTTAGGGTTAGGGTCTAGCATTTAACAACCCAACCCGAAGTATCTTGACCCAACCCGAACCCGACCCACCCAACCCAATTGCCAGGTTTAGGCGCAGATGTGAACTCTCAATTTAGGGCCGTTTTCACTTTTCAATTATCAGATCAAACCGGTCAAAGAATCTATTCGGTCCAGCTGGCTTTCAAAGATCTGTTTAAACCAGAACCAGAACCAGAACCAGGGTCGGTTATAGAGAACCCACCCGTTAAAGGAAAGTCTGATGCTTCTCTAACGAGATAAGAAGTTCGTCGGTTGACAACTTGACTGTGTGTGCCTAACGAATCAGAAAGTTTTGAGTTTTGACAGTAGAAAGATGGAATCGAAATTCTCTCTCCTTCGTTGCAGCTCGGCGTAGGTTTTGGGCCGGGGGAGATCCTATCTCCCACTTGATACACCATTCGCGGCAAATTATAAGAAGAAGCTCTCGCCCCGTCTCCCCCCTTCCAACTCGTTTTTTCACAGCAGAAAATCTGCGTCTCGGCGACGAAATTTAGTCATGGAGCTGATGTCTCATTCTTCCACCTTTCTTCTTCCTTCGATTCCAGTCGACGGCAGTCCAAGTCTAACATACGCGCTTGTTGTGCTCAACCAACGCCTCCCTCGATTCACTCCTCTCTTATGGAAGCATTGTATGTGTCTTTCTTACTCATGTCTAGGATTTCATTTCGCCTGTGTTCTAGGGTTCTTGTTGAGTTTTTTTTTTTTTTTTTTTGACGTTTCTTTTTGGTTTTACGTATCTTGATAAGAAGTGTTAGGGTTTGGCGGTTTTGTAGAGCAGCACAACTACGTATCTGTGCAGACGGAGGAGCTAATCGAATATATGATGAAATGCCAAAACTGCTACCTGATGAAGATGTGGTAGATGTGCGAAACAGGTTTCATGTTTATCTCTGGCTATTTTTTATCGTATTAATTTTAGGTGTGACATAAGGATTCTTGTTGTTTTTCATCTGGTTGATTCTCTGAAACAGGTTTCATGTTTATCTCTTGTTGTTTTTTATCGTATTACGTTTGTATTGGCTTTGGTTTATAAACGCGTAATGTGCCTCTTGTATTTGAACCTTTTTCTTCTTTAAGTTTCTATTGAGGCATTAAGATTTTTTTTTGGAGATTAAATTGATTGAAACGGCGTTCTATAAAGCGCTTTTATATTTTTCAGCTGTAGTCTGGATGATTCGTTTAGTTTATATGTGAAGTTGTCAAACTGGATTTGCACGGAAAAGTGTTGAAAATATTGAACAGGAACCTAACTTCCTTTTTCAGCCTTTTTTTGCCGGCTTGGAACTGGAGATGTGTAGAACTTAACGTATTTAGGTTCCAGAATCGTTGCCGATGGTCACATATCATGTTATCAGTTAGTTTAGTCCATAATCTTCTTCCCCAATACATCACATTACATCTGTTGCAACTAATTGCCTTCCAGGTTCGTGTATGATTAGTTCGGAATACCTGTGTACTTTGACCCTGGAACTTTTTATTTTATTTTATCTTTTGTAAGTGTCATTTGCATGCTTCAGCAACAGTGGGATCTCGCACATATACTTGAGTTCATAAAGAGTTATGACTGTAGTGAACATACATGATCTGACGGAACTGTGTGTGTGTATTATATGCCATGTTGGTTCAAGTTTTTCGTGGGAATTGTTCCTTGTTGAATGAATTAAGGACAGGTCTTTTCTGTAATTGGTCTTGATTTTTTTTCTTGATTCATGTCTGTATGGTTGGGACATATGTTAATTTGTAATACATCTCTTGGCTTTGTTCCAGGTACAAGCCAGATGTGATCAAAGGAGATATGGATTCAATTCGAACAGAAGTGGTTAATTTCTATTTAGGCATGGTAAGTTAGTCTGTAGTTTCTGATTCCCATCTGAATCAGTTAATCTGGTCCCTATTTATGTTTCAGTAGAACAGAGCACGTTGCAAAGTCTGATATAGCCCACACATTCTTAACTTGTGTGGTTAACTTAGAACACAGTGACTCATCTGGGGAGTCATCTTACTTTTCTCTTTTCTGTTAATGAACAATGGGGAAAAGGTAAAGGAGAAGAGACCAAACAAGTGCTCATAAACTGTTAGAACCCTGTAAGGATTGGTAAATATTCAAATATTTCTGTGTTTATTTCTTTCTTTTTTCTTTGGGGAGGGGGTGGAAGGGGTTGGGCCATTAAAGGCACATAAAGAAGTGTAGGAGGGCAAAAATGAAAGAGTTGCATCTGAAACTAAATTGGAGAGTTTGACAGAACATGAATCTGGAATTAGGTATTATAAAGAAAGAACAAAATACGAAAAGAGGAACAAAACCGATATGCATGTCTTTTAAATAGTTGAGAGAGAGAAAGAAATCTCTATAACTAAATTGGAGAAATTAACAGGACATGTTTTGGAATTTGGTACCATGAAAGAGAAGAAAATAAAAAAAGGGTAAAAGTTAAATCCACACACACTACATTCAACAGAAAAGTGTTAATGCAAATTATTTGATTCAGAACRAGTCAGAAGATCTTCACTCACATTCCAATGACTTCTCCACTTATACTCTGGTAAACTCTAATGGTTTGTTTAGGATTTTACATAGAGTGAGACCCCAGCTAAATACTCATCGTCATCACCGGCATCATCATATTAGCCTTGTCCTAACTATATGTGGTCAGCTACATGAATCCTGTTTTGCCATTCCATTCTATTGAGTATTATATCCATTGTTAAATTATGAGCCCTTAAATCATTCGTTACTACCTCAACCCATGTCCTTTTTGGTCTGCCCCTAGCTCTTCTAGTTCCTTCCACTTGCAATATCACTTCTTCTTATGGGTGCTTTGATGGTCTCTTAACTCTTATGCATGTGACCAAACCATCTCAGTCCTCATTTTAAGACCTATTAGAGCTACTTGTGGGTTCCTTCAAGTGAGTTTTTTTCTATGCCTGCTCTTCCTAATTTTCCACTTATCCATCTCAGCATTCACATTTCTGACGCACTCATTTTTTGGGCATGTTTCCTAACTGTCCAACACTCTTCTCCATACAACATTGCTGGCCTTACAACATTTTATGAATTCTTCCTTTTAGCCTAAGTGGTATTCACCTATCACACAAGACTCTGTATGCACCTCTCCATTTTGCCCATCTTGCTCTAATTCTATTGGCAACAACCTCAAAGAAATATTCAAAAAAAGGTGGGCATGCATCAGTCATCTAGGAATATTAACCTGCACACAAAATAGCCAAACAAATGATGATAAAATCACTTATTCTTAAAGGAACTGAAGTATTTCAAAACCAAAGCCCAATTGATAATGGTGTGGTATCTAGGTGAGGATGCTATGTGAGCATGAAATCTGAGGTGATCTTGTTGTTCAAGTTGCAGAATTGGCAAGCGTTTTGGAGATGCTCTAATGGTGCTTGCATAAAATGGAAAAAATAAAGAAGAAGAAGAAGAAGAAGAAGAGAGAGAGAGAGAGAGAGATCAGAAGAATAAGCAGTAGTCGTGCTGCTAGGTTCCAAACCTCTAGTTAGAGCCTAAATAACCAAGAGGAGAGGGGGTATAATCTCACAATTGGAATATTAATCTCTTTTCCCTCAAACCACAATGAGATTGCAGAAGCAAATGGAAGGGTATACACCTTTATTAAAAGAAGGCTATGTTGCTTTGCATAGCAAGAAATCAAAATAAATGAAAAAACAAAGATAACTCTAACTAATCTTATCTCTGTAACATTCCTGGTCTTCTTGGGTCATATTAACTAGAGAGTCTTGTTGGTATGGGCCCAAGATCATGTTAATAACACATGCTGATGCTGTTTAGCCAGTCCATTAAGAAGCTGCAAGTGTCCAAACAAATACCGGCAAAAGATCTGTCACCCAAGTATTTATATCAGAACATGATATTGAATTATGTGTGTGTGTATGATGTAGCAATATTGAATTTCCTCATATTTTGGGGACCAACCAACCTCCAGGATGTTTACAGTTATTTGATGCTTGCAGGGGACAAAGGTACAGAATGAATCACATGATCAGGACACTACTGATCTGCACAAATGTGTAAGCTATATTCGGGATTCCACACCAGAGCTACAAAAGTCTAGTGTAAGTGATGCTGGTGAAAGTTCTCATCTTATCATAATAAAGGGTTGAATTTTTTGGTTGATTCATTTTGATAGAAGCTCCGAATTCCATTTTATTCTTGTGGTTTAGCTTTTTTCTAATGGTATTAAAACTTTGTTGAGTTGAATTGACAAAGTAAAAACCTTAGTAAGTGATAGACTTACTTTTATGTTTTTTTTTTTTTAAATCCCAAAAGCAGAAGGCCGCATTTGGTTTTATTGTGTACTTTGTGCTGTGAAATGGGTTTGGTAAAATGTGTTTTCACGGCATGCTTTCCATAATAGAAAGCAAGAACATATATATTTGGATACGTTGACATATTTTTCATGTTTTGCCATTAGAACATACACATGTCAAACATTAACAAGTGCTGTAAGGAATTTTATAAGGCCATGTAGCTGCGTGTGTTTCCACTTGGCTGCATCATGCATTCCACTTGGTTAATTATTTTAATATTATTTTATTGGTTTTGTTAATTATTTAATTAATTTATTACTTTTACTTATCTAATTAATTAACCATTTTATTAGATAATTATTTTATTGATTTCATTATTTTTCATGATTATTTTTGTTATATAACATATTTTAATATTTTTTCTTAATTATATAAGTAGTTTCCCGGTTAATTAATTATTTTATTAGTTGATTGATCATTTCTAGTATTAACTAAATAATTTATTAAGTTTTTCTACTATTTTCTCAATTATTTTAGTATTTACCTTGTTTTATTTAATTATTTCAAATTTTGTCAATGGTAAAAGGGTGTGATGTGACCCCCGCATGATCACTTAAAACCTGAACTAAAACACTGACCAGAAGCACAAAGCCAGGAAATCTGGCTTCATTTTTCGGGCTTTTTGTGCTTTTACTTTTTGAATCTTACTCTAAAAAACATAAGTATTCAAACTTTTGAGGTGCTTTTTGTACAATTTACTTTACAAAATATAAAAAGTATTTTATAAAAGTCTTTCTAAACACCACCTAGTAGTTTCTTGATAAAGTCAACAGTTACAGCTTACACTACTCAGACATGGTGGTTGTTACACATTCACAATGAATGATCACTTGATGCGTATATTGTTTTCCCTTATCCGTTCATTTACTTGATTATTGTGTCTCTGTTTATGTTGGTTTGATGCTGATTTACTATACATGCGTCAATTGCAGTTGTGCATTCTTGTTGCTGGCGCTATGGGTGGACGGTTTGATCACGAAATTGGAAATATAAACGTTCTTTACCGATTCTCAGAGTTGCGAATGGTTCTTCTATCCGATGATTGCCTCATCCACCTTCTCCCCAGAACCCACCATCACGAGATTCATATCTTGCCTTCTGTTGAGGGCCCACACTGTGGCCTCATTCCCATCGGAATGCCCACCGCAAAGACCACAACCACCGGGCTACAGTGGGATTTGAGTAAGTAACTCATTTTCTATCAATTTTCACTAACCAAATAATTGGACTTTTTTAGTTTTTTACGCTAACTAGGTCTGTCAATGGACCAGATATTGGTATAATCTGATCTGGTCCAATATGTGTCTATTGCAGATGGACCATGTCCAATCCAATCCAATGAATATTTTTGACCAGTTTGGACCGGTCTAATTTAATGTCTGGACCATCTAATCTGTTACAGATTGGTTTTAATTTACTTTGGTTCCAACCCAAATCTGGTCCATTGAAACATGTATTCTTATCTTCTATCAATGGATTGGATATTGGTTCAATATGACCCAATCCAATATAAATCCATTGTAGGCGGACTAGGTCCAATCCAATTCAATTAATACTTTGCACCATTAAGTCTGGATTCATCCAATTCAATGTCATAATGGTCCATCCAATCCATCCAAATTGATTTTGATTTGAACGGGTTCAATCCAAAATTGGTCCATTCACACCCTTAATGCTAACTAATCACACTTAACATGATTGTGACAGTGCACCTCCCCTGTTAATTTGAGTTTTCTTTATGTTAATCTCCAGATGACACAGAGATGAGATTTGGTGGTTTGATTAGTACATCCAACCTCACCAGGGAGAAAAAGATCACAGTGCGATCAGATTCAGATCTCATCTGGACAATATCCATTAAAAAGCTGGAGTGAATCCATCTGGGGCTGTTAATATTGCCACTTCAGAACCAGATCCACCCACTGTAATATCATAGATATTTTTAATGCAGACTGCAAAGGCCTCCTTTATTTGGAATTTTTGTTACAGGTAGCTTTATGTTTGGTGTTTATGCCCATCTTTGTCTGGATTATTTTGGTAATGGCTCTTCTGGTTCTGGAAGCCAGCGTAGAATAGGATGGTCTCATTTTAGTTTTTCATTGGATTCGAGGCTGTATGTTTATATAATCTAAAATAAATTCATTTTATTATGTTAACAAAAATAGAATAAAGTCATTCAGCATTTGGATTAGTGAACTTATTTCTAGTTTTTATCAACAATTCTATTTTTATTATCATCTGGATGATGGTTAATTTTACACGGATTATATGGGTTTGAGTTATATGCAAAATCATGAATGATTCTGTATAATTTCAAATCCAAACTGAAATTAACCTTCTTTTAACGTATAAAGCCACAAACTGGAATGGTCTTGTGGCTTCCAAACAGCCCATGATTGATTAGTAAATAGAAATGACTAGATATGGGAATGTGTTTTCTACCAAATTTCTGAAAGTTAAAATGATTATTTATTGTATAATCTAGAAACATTTTAGTTCTTGAAGAAGCTTGAAGATCCAAGAGGGGAATTCAGGTTGCTTTATGACACAGTGACACTGTGGCTAAGTATTAAGTTCAAAGAATTGCCTAAAGAAATCAAAAATCAATACATGGGAAAATTTATGATCTTGATTGATCTCTTGTGGGATGCAAGGAATCTAAAGCCATATGAGTCTAAAAACATTTCTGCTTTGAAACTGGTTGGTAAATTGGAGCTCTATTGTCAATATGAAGACTGCCTATTTAATTGGAGGCAACAGTGAAGTTTAACGGTGGGCATTGAAGCATGGTGTGAATGAGGGAATTCTGGATAACTACTTCAACCAAAAGTCCAAAATTGAAATTACTGAAATTCACTACATGCTCTGCTCACTTCTTTTGATACTAATATCTTTTTGTGATGTGAATATAAGGGCCAATATCATAGCTCATGATTTTTTTTTTTATGTCAGGCTAATCCTCATTGAATATGCTCAGATTACAAGAGACTCACTAAATAATACACATCAACAGATCCAACAGACACACAGCTCAGAAGTAAATAAAAACCCATGCACGCAGCAATTAAGACTAAAAGAAAGCAACGTTTTAAAAAATGATCCGGAAAGGGAACCGTTGTGGCCATCAGCTTCTGGGTTGATGATTTGACTGTACAGTTCGAATGGATGGCTCATTTTGATAAATAAATTAAAAAATAAAAATAGTTGAAAATAAAAAAAGGTTAAAACTGTTGAATGGATCGACGGTTTGACCACTTGAGTTAATGGATTGTTGATTTTTTTAATGGTTTTTTGTCAAAAATCGAGTTTGGGGTAAAACAGAATCGGTTGCCTGGACAGTTCCTAGGCCGAATACTCCTACCATCCGGATCAACAGCGGTTTGAAAACCTTAAAAGAAAGACAAGATAAGCTGAGCAAAGAATCGAACAAACGCCACGGAAGAGAAGGCCAAAAAGCCTCCAGCAAAGATCACATAACCAACAAAAATTCCCATAACAATGAAGGACTAAACACAGCCTAGGAAAAACTACCAAAACAAACATAGAAGAAAAACACTTACAACAAAACTTTCCAACTCAGACCGAGATCACATAGCTCATGAGTTGTCTTATGGAGAAGGAAGCAGATTTATATATTATACAGCAGCTAATATGCTGATGCTCATTTAAAAAAAATCAGCCTATTTTGGCTTTCAACGAAAAAAAACAAAAAAACAAAACAAAACATAAACGAAATAACGAAAAGGCTTCTCTGCCCAATCTTGAACATCACAAAGTTACTAACTTCTCTAGCCAATTTTGAACAGCACAAAGTTTATGCATTAGAAGAAAGTCGCAAATGGAGAAAAAGGGGTCAAGGGGGAAGTTATTAATGGTACATGGCACTTAGCACAAGAAGAGAAGAAGAAGAAGAAGAGTCTCAATTCCCTTGTATTTAAAAAATTTATAACCATTGAATCAGTATTTTAAAGTGGTAAAATAAAAGAACACGGGAAGGTTTCGATCGATTAAATTTCTTTTCAAAATCGTCAAAAAGAAGAAAAAACAAAAATCCCACAAGTGTATGTGATGGTGCGCGATCTGACTACTCCTAGCTGGAGGGCGATTCGGACTCCAGGTGGACGGCGAGCTGGATCAATCTGCAAAAAATCTATCAGAGAACCCGGGGTAGCTAACCCGGCGAGGTCGCTCCGATGCTTAAGTCAATAAGTATGTTGTAAATGCAAGCTGAATGCTTGAGAGCTTGAGTGCTAGAGAGTAGAGTAATCACACATCCCTTTGCCTTGAGGTTTCYGTCTTTATATACTGGAGTAATCATGGGTCTCACGAAAGAGCTCCGGCATCTCCGAGGTGTGGAGATAAGGTTCGTTCCGCTTTTGAAGGAGCAGTATGTAGATAAGGCTTATCGTTTCACCTTCGACTCTGGTGGAGCCGGGACGAGTTCTCATCGTGATCTCGGAAAAGTCAAGATCTGTTAGCTCATCGTGATCTCGGGTAACTTGGGATCTGTTGGAGAGGCCTCTAGAGTCGGTTGTGTGGCGATTCGGGTCATTAGCTCCGAGCTGGTACTTTGATTCTTTAGTCTCGAACTGGATTGGATGTCGAGGTGGTTGAATACCCGAGCCCCAAATGTTGCGAACTAGGCTTGCCAGGCTGAACTGTCATCCCTTGATCAGATCACGCCCATGTGTCCCCTTCTTGCTAGGTCGAGCCAAATCACCCTTCATCAATTTCCCCCCACTCCTCGATCCAAGGGTTTCAACTCGATGCGGGGAGTTCATGACGAGTCCAGGTGGATTTGACATGAGGTCTAGGCGACTTGACAGGCGAATCGTTGGTTGGACTTGTTCGACCGCCCGACTCAACCCAGGAATAACCCAGGTCGCGTCTGAGTCACGTGCAGACGTCACGCCGTTTTATAAACTCCGCGGACGTCAAAACATGCGCTAAATCGATTTCAACCTCGGGGGTCGTGCAACCGGTTTCCCTAGGAGCCGTCAGATCGACCGTTGATCCCCAGATATGTTGGCTATAAATAGGGGCCAAGGGGCTCATTTTCCTTGCCACAAGTCCACAAATCTGCAATCTTTGAAATCGCGTTCAAGTCTTTCAGTTCGGTGTCTTTCCGATGTCGCCTTCCTTTCTTCGGTCTTTCTTTTTGTGAGTCCCCCTTTGCTATTTCTTTTCGATTCCGCGTCTTTTTAGTATGTCTAGCTTTAGCTTTGATAGTCTCTTAGACGAGAGCAGTGAGTCCGTTGGAGCCGAAGTGGGTACCTCGGCTCAGACCGTGGATCCTCGTCCTACCAAGGTGGTTACTTTGGGTCAGGATGCGGTCCGCGGTCCCCCCAAGGTGAACTCACCTTGGCGGGAGCGAGAGGCCTCAGGTAACCTGGCTTCCACCTCACACCAAGGTCGGCTGCCAGACTACTTCGACATGTCGACAATGACAGCGGACAGGCTCCTAACCTTAGTAGCGGTACAGACTTCCCAACGACTTTGTGTATAGCATCCCCTTAGGCAACTTCCCTTGGGATCACGATCACAATGAGATCGTGATCTTCGAGGAGCAGCTTATAGTTGGTCTTCGCCTTCCATTTCACCCTCTCATAGTCGAGATCGTAAAATTTTTTAACATCACCATAGATCAATTACACCGAAACTCTATCCACAACATCGTAGGGACCATTTCACTTTTTCACGATTACAACCTTCCCCTTGACCTTGACGTCTTTTCTTCTATTCTTAATTTGTCTTGTGTTTTGCCCGAGCATAGGCGAACTTACTATCTGTCACCTCGCCCTGGTTTCAAACTTTTGCACGAGTTCCCTAACAAGGTCCCGGCCTGGAAGAGACGCTATTTTATGGTCCACAACACCGAGGGGTGGCCTTTCCCGACTCATTGAAGGGGAGCCATCCAGGACCCCGACGTTAGGTTGGACCTGAAGACAAGGGAGGTGCTCCGATCTTGGGCGGAGCTCGGCCTGAAGTTCGAAGACTTCGTGACCGAGAAGAAGCTCATGCAGGCCGGTCTGAGTCCTCCTTTTAGGTCACTGTTTGATGTACTTTTTCTATTAGTTTTACTTCAGTACTGTATCTGACAGCTCGTTTTTTGTCGCAGCTATCATGGACGACATCCCCACCAACGAGCTCTTCGGGAGTATGAAGAGGGGGAAGAAGAAGAAGAAGAAGAGAGCTTCCAAGAAGGCTCGTGTTGAGCACCCACCAGCTGCCGTTCCTGAGCCCGAGCAGCCATCAACTGTCGATCAGCTTCCCGTGATAGATCTAGTCGAGGAGGACTCGGGCAAGCCCTCCCCACCCCGCGTGCCCGAGGAGGCTACGTCTTCAGAGCCCGTCCTTGCAGCTGCCACTTCTTTGGGCAGCGACGACGCAGTTCGGAGTATTTTGACTCCAAAATTCGGCCTTCTCAAGAGCAAGGACGCGGTATTCGCTGAGGAGGTCGCTTGTTGGGCCGAATTGCCAGTTGCTCAGCTCGGGGCCAGAGCAGTTACTCACTGTATGGTGGTAACTTCTCGGACTTGTCTTTTCAAACTATCTTGTACTTGGATTTTTTGTATACTGATGCTTGTTTCCTTCTCTTAGCAGGCGAATTCCTCCATCCACGCCTTGGCTTATCAGTCCGAGGTGAACTTGAAGCGGACCCTCGGAGCCGAGGAGTCTTCCTAGAAAGCCCACGCCGAACTGAACTTATCTTGTAACGAAAATAACCAGTTGGAGAACGATGTGCGAGCTAAGAAGGAGCTGCTCACTCTGTTGATGTTGGAGAAGAAGGAGCTCGAGCAGCATGAGGCGGCATTGAAGAGGGAGGTGGAGAACCTCGAGGCCCATGTGAAGGAACGAACCGAGTTACTTCTTCAGGTGATGGAGGAGGCCAAGGCTAAGGTTGTTGAAGAGTACAAGTCCTCACCGGAGCTTCGGGAAAGGCTGATCAAGGTAGGGACAGCGGGTTACCGCAAAGGATTCAAACTCAGCAGGTGGTTGACCCAACGTGAATTTCCCCAGCTCGACCTTAGTGCCATAACCACATCGAAGATCACAGAGGAGATGGTCGTCGAAGCTGCCCAAGATCCGGACTTTGAAGCAGAAAGTGACGACGACCTACTCGACGAGGATGAGGAGACCGGTGCTGGCGAGGACCACATGAAGACAGATCCTCCTGTCGAAGCCTCCAATAAGGATGAG